GGGGGGGTGTCAGAGGTCTTACGTGTAGCACCTATAAAGCTTTTTTGTTCGATGATAAAATAACACACTGATTAACATGATCGCAAATTATAATTCATTCAACCAAACCCATACCAGGTGTATCAGTGAAGCCATCTCAGTGTTACGAGTTGGCCTACTCCTTCCCTTGTCCGTAAGGCGCCATGACCCCTTCGGTGCAATCCCGCAACGCTGAGTTTCAGTGCATTCTCTGCTCCACGCGGTACATCCGTACACTAACCTTCATCTCGGCTCACTAGAACGGCGATCATCACCATGACCGCAAGCACGACCATGGAGCCCAATATCGTCACCGCATAGCGCGTTTGCAGCCTTTCTATCCAGCGCTCTAGAGTGAACCCAAACAGAACAGTTGGCACACTTTGCTACCCTCTTAGGGATCGTACCCAAACTACGTGACGCATTTTGGGGGAGGGGGGGGGTCTGTGAAAACACTACTCACCACCACCAGGGGGGAGGGGGGTAATTCGGCCAAGTCACGTGGCTATTAATTACCTGCTCAAATAAGCATGTTTTTGAAAAATACTAACACAAATCCGTTTATTGCGTGATAAATCACTGAAATCTGACGGTGTTTAATCGAAAAGTCACCACTAAATTAAGTTTTGAATATCAGCAAACATGCACTTTTTGTTAAAATGTAATTAAAGTAGTGAATACGTCAAATAACACATATGCTGTAAACCACGTGAAAATGGAGGGGGGGGGGGAGGGGGGGTCCCCGAAACCACCACAGACCACCACAGGAGAGAAGGGGGAAGATCAAAATCCGCCAAAAACCCGTCACGTGGTTTAGGTACGATCCTTTATACTGCATGAGGCGCCTGAACACGCACTTTCCCTAGCCGGTTGTTCACGTGACTCCGCCGTCGGCGTGGAAGGCGGTGGCTGGTGATCGTCGGCCTGCTTCTCCCTCTCGGTGAGCGCGCTCCGGCGGCCCTGGACCGCGGGCGGGAGCAGGCCGGGTAGCGAGCTGGGCGGCACGAGCAGGGTGACGGCCCCGTGGAAGTGCGTGTTGCTTCCGATGTACACCTCCGAGGAGCTCTCCACCGCGATGTCCCCGATCGACGGCAGGATCGAGCAGGACTGGATGGCCTCGGCCAGCTCTTGGCCGCTCGCCGACGACACGCTGCCGGAGCGGGTGCTCCAGGTGTCGGTGCTGTCCGTGTCGCCATGCTGGACAGCGGCGCTGGCGAGGCCCGCGAGCTCAAGCTCACCGAGGTCGGCAGGCGCGAGGACGATGGCGTGGAGGTCGCTCGGGTCTGCGGACGGCGGACGGGTCGAGCCGCTCATGCCGCAGGACCATGATCACGCCTGCGACGCGCGGCTGGGCCCGCCTGCGGAGCGGCCGGCACGGCTCGGCTCAGCTCAGCGAGGGCAGGGTCTCGGGGAGGGCGACCGCACTCTGTCCTGGGTACCGACTGACAACCCAACCTACCGAGAGCCCACCCCACTCATGTCGCTATCTAGCGTGTTCCGCAGCTGGCGCGCGACAGCTAATAACTGCGAGTTTTGTGCTTGGTTTTGGTTTATTATCCGAGATATACTGTATCAGTTGGGGAATAACCATGAAATACAGGAGACTTTGTGCACGTGATGAGCCCAGTGATAAATAGACCACTCCACCGACTGTGGAAGAAGAAAGAAAAGAATCAAAAAGCACCGGAAACAGTATTGATAAACAGATCAAACCGCTCACTTTTTCTAGTTTTCTTGACCTAGATAATTATTCTGGACTTGTTGGTGTGCCACAGAGGTGTAAGTGTGGATACAGAGTTCACGAAACGCAAGCGTGATTTTCACGCAAGGCGTGATTTTTCACGCTTCGTAAACTTCACACAGCCAATCAGGAACTGACTTTCATCATGCCTGGCGTGAAAATCACGCCTAGCGTGAAAATCACGCTCGCGTTTTGGGAACTCTGTATCCACCTTAAAAATGATCTACATACTGGTTTTTGTTACTGTTTCCGGTACTTTTTGATTCTTTTCTTTCTTCTTCCCCATTCGGTGGAATGGTCTATTCGCGTCGAGGACCTTGATCGATCGACAAAATGTTTTTGTCGTGGAAAACAACGTAATTTCGATATCGACGGTGTGAGTATTTCAAATTTCTTGCCGGAAGGTTTCGTAATTTTGTCCTTGTGAAGCGAATGCTAATTAATTTGATCCACAAATTAGAGAGGAAAAGCATAACACAAGGATCTCGTAGTTGTTTTTATTTTTATTATTCTTAAGCCTTATTAGCCAACATCAGAGGGGTTTCTCATAAAAATAAAATTTAAATCGACGCTAGGTACAATAAGGATACTTGATTGCTGTTTTTGCAGCTATCTTTGGTTGGACAGCGACGTTTTAGCCGTCGCCAATGTCCATGTCCTCTTACGTCATGCAAGCCCAGGGCACTGACGTGTAGTTGCTCCAGTGCGACCAGGTGCGCAGGTCCTCCATGAAGCTCCACCCCGGGCTGTCCGAGGACTGCACTTGGCAGGCGCCCATGATCTTGTAGTTCCCGGTCAGCTTCCCCAGAGACACGCCCCACTCGAGCAGCCGGCGCAGCGCGCTCTGCAGGGCGGGCGGCGCCGTCTCGTTCGTGAAGGTGCCGATGATGCCCACGCCGATGGACTTCGTGTTCCAGCCATAGGTGTGGGCGCCGACGGTGTCCCAGCCCCGACCCCAGTACGCGTGGCCGTCGCCGCCGACCAGGAAGTTGTAGCCGATATCACTGAACGGTTGCGGACGGTGCCGCCAGTCCATTTGTGAGTCTTGGATTCGTAACACCTGCGGGCAGAGACTTGTATGCTCATTGCGTTTCTCCCTTCCCCGACGGAGGGTGCGTAGCAAAAGTAGAGGCAGGGAGCATCTGACCTCTGCGCTGCACTCCGCCCTGGTCGCGCACTGGTAGCCCGCCGTGTGCTGGACGATGACGTCCATCACGGGCGTCATCAGCACCGACCCCGGGTTCCTGGCCCCCCTGGCACGCCATTCACCTCGAGACACCAGGACTTCCGCTTAGGGGCAAAGAAAAAATCAACAGATTAAGGGAGGAGGCGGAAATACGGTTTGGGGGTCACAGGCACAGGCTGTGCTTCCCCACTACCTTCAAAGGGGCGTTTGGACGTGCTGCCAACCAACGGGGTGGAGTCGGTGGTGGAAGGCACGGTGAAGGTTGTCATGGTGGTGGTGGTGGTGGTGGCGGCGGCGGTGGTTGTGGTAGCCTTGTTCGTATCCAGCGCGGTCTGCGAGGCGCTGTCCGAAGGGCCGGGGCGGGTGAGTACGAGAATGCCCAGGACCACGACGACGGCGACCAGGACCAGGGCGGTCGCGGCCTGGAGCCAGCGGCAAGGGCGATCCGGGATAGCGGGCAGCAGCGCCACGCAGTACGTGAAGCGTGGCAGTGGTGGGTGCCCCATGACTCCACCGGGCTCTACTCTATCCCGCGCGTGCACCGCAAGTGGCTGGGGAAGCGGCAAGCGCAGCTGAGCGGCAGGGGGAAGGGGGGA